CCTGGTTTACTGATCCTTCCACTTTTCCCAATTTTTAATTGAGATATAATTCAAATACCATAAAATTCACCCTTTTTAAGCGTCCAATTCAGTGGTTTGTACTATATTCATAACATTGTGCAACCATCACCACTATCTAATTCCACAACATTTTCATTACTCCCAAAAGAAACCTGTACCCATTAGCAGTCGCTCCCCACTTTCTCTCCTGCCGTCAGCCCTTGGCAACCACTAATCTATTTTCTGTCTCTATGGCTTTGCCTATCCCGGACATTTCATATGAATGGAATCACACACTTTTTGGCCTTTTGTGTCTGGCTTCTTTCACTTAGCATAGTATTTTCAAGTTTCATCCCTGTTGTAGCAGGTATCAGTACCTCGTGCCTTTTTCTGGCTGAATAATATTCCACCGTGTGGAGACATCACATTTTGTGTGTCCATTCATCAGTTGATAGATACTCGGTTTGCTTCCATTTTTTAGTGAATTATGAATAATGTTGCTATTATTTACGTACAAGTTTTTGTGTAAACATATGCTTTTAATTCTCTTGGGTATATACCTAAAAATGAAATTGCTGGGTAAATCACAACTCTGTTTAAATTTTTGAGGAAATGCCAGAGTCTTCCCCAAAGCAGCTGTACCGTTTCCATCCGCAGCAGCAGTGTACGAGGGCCCCACTTCTCCACGTCCTCCACAACACTGTTATCGTTTGTCTTTTTACTCTACCCATCTTAGTAGGCATGAAGCGGTATCTCAGTGTGGTTTTAATTTGCATTTCCCTAATGACTAATGATGTTGAGCATCTTTTTGTGTGCTTATTGGCCATTAGTATATCTTCTTTGGAGAAATATCTATTCAAATCCATTATCCAATTTAAAATTAGGTTATTTGTCTTTTTATTGTTGAGTTATGAGAGTTCTTTATATATTCTAGATACTAGACCCTTATCAGATGTATGATTTGCAAATACTTTCTTTCATTCTATGGGTTATCTTTTCACTTTCTTGATAGTGTCCTTTGATGCCCAAAGCTTTTTAAAAAAATTTTGATGGAGTCCGATTTATCTATTGTTCTTTTGTTGCTTGTGTTTTTGGCATCATGTCTAAGAAACCATGACCTAATCCAAGTAAGAGTTTTATAGTGTTAGTTCCTACATTTAGGTATTTGATCCACTTTTAGTTGCTTTTTCTAGGGTGTAAGACGGGATCCAGCTTCATTCTGTAGCAGGCAGACATCCAGTTGTCCCGGCACTATTTGTTGAAAGAACTCTTCTTTCCCCCATTGAATTGCCTTGGCACCTTTGTCAAAAATCAATTAACTATAAACGTATGGGCTTATTTCTGGACTCTCAATTCTATTCCGTTGATCTATGTGTCTATTCTCAGGGCAGTACCACACAGTCTTGATTACTGCAGCTTTGTAATAAGTTTTGAAATAGGGAAGTGTGGGTCCCCCAACTTTGTTTTTCCTCGAGGTTGTTTTGCCAGTCGTCTGTTTGGCACAATGACCCTGTGCATTTCGTGAGTGCATCTTTAAGTAAGCTTCTCCTAGTGGTATGTTCAAGAGCCACAAACCTTGCCTAGGACAACACGGGAGCTGTCAGTTGGCATGGAAATTTAAAGCAGGGTCTGGTTGGTGCACAGAAAAAATAGCTATATGGGAGGATGATAACTTTTTCATTTTCAGTCATCTCTGATCGGCTTTAACACAATAAATGCGGTTTTGTTAATTGATCACTCTGTAATTGCACACAAAAGTTGCAACTGGTTTTTGCTGGCATCATGAATGCTTCCAAGTAATATAACTTATTTAAAAGTATTATGTAGGTGTGTCAGGCAGTTAATAAAAATATTAAGCTACTTTTTTCTGGATTTTTTTAGGTTTGTAGTATTTGTCAACTTTTAAATTTACATCTGGTCTCGATTTTTTTTCTAAGTCTAAGTAAATATTCACTTTTGCACCCAACTTTTAAGTTTTTTTAAAGAGTGACCCCCAAAACTTCAAACCTAAACTTTGGGCTTGGCAAAACCTGGACCCGCCCCTGCACACTGCTGCCCAGGCTGACCTGCAGACTGACTCACACACAGGCGCCCCCCGGGAGCACACACAGGAGAACCCACAGGGCTCCTAGCAGAGGAGTCGCAGAGGGAGGAAGACCCTTGGGGTAGCCTCACATCTCCAGCTGCTTCTGGGAGGAGAACTCAGTGGCCCTGCCCAGTCCTGCTGGGAACACTCTTGCAGAAGTACCCGTGCCCACCCGTCCTCCCTACATGTAGGGACCCTGATCATCCTCGGTACCCTTCACCACAGCTGTCATCAGTTCCCACCTTCCCACCTCACTCCCACAGTCTGCAGCGAGAGGCGTCAAGGCCTCCTCCTCCACAAAGCCAAGCCTAGGGGAGGCCGACGCTCTGCCCCCTGGACGACACTGACCCCCTGAGGGATGGGCGTTGTTGAGCTATGGCAGGGACCCATGAAAGAGACATGGCGTAAGGGCTGGTCACGGAGGGGTTGGAGGGGGTGTGCCGTCCGAGGGAAGGGGCCAAGGGAAGGAGAGGAAGTCGAATGAGAGATGCTGTCTCATTCAGTCCTCACAAAATATTATTCCCTTTATGCAAATGAGGAAACAGAAGCCTGAGATGGAAGGTGAGTAGTTTACACAGCTAATAAGCTGCAAAATGAGATTTGTAACCAGATCTGTGTAGATCAGTGGTTCTCTCAACTGGAGGAAATTTTACCCCGCAGGACATTTGGCAGTGTCTGTAGACCTTTTTGATTGCCGCAATTGGGGAAGGGGTTCTACTGACACATGGTGGGTGGAGGCCAGGAATGCTGCTAACCATCCTACAATGCACAGCACAGCCCCCACAACAAAGGATCATCTGGTCCAAAATGCCAGTGGTGCAGAGATTGAGAAACCCTGATCTAGCACTTCCCCAGAGAATTCTGTACCTTGGCTCCTTTCTAGACTTGCCCTAGCCTAACTAATCTGGGGTCCATTCACCCAGGAGTTGCAGGAAGGAACAACTGTACACCCCACCTCATTCCCGGGTTAGGTACCAGGGTCAGTGCTCAAGCTACAGACCCAATGCCCACAGTGACCAGTTTCCCACTACGGCACCTCTAGCTTCACTCTCCCCTGTCCACTGGAGGGAGGAGTTCTGGTCTGGGGAGGAGATGCCCGTAGGTCCGTCCCCCTGCTTACACAGCCCAGTGTCCAGCTTAGGTTAGTTTCCAGATGTGGCCACAAGATGGCACTCCAACCCACCAGGAATGCTAAGAGCAGCACACAGGACACAGGACAGCTGGACAAAGGCCTGGGGGCTTGACTTGGGCCAGTTCCAGAGCCTAGCAGGACCAGATCTAGGGCCTGCAAGTGCCAGGTGTGAGAACGTAGGCCCAACTTGGCTCAGGACTCCCTTCCCCTTTTTTCGAGTCCACTGCCAGCCCCAGCTCATCCTCCAGCCATTCCAATCGCACAGCTTACGGGGGCCCACCACCCCCTCCTGTCTAGCCTGAACAAAAGAAATCCCAGAGCTGAGATGTTAAGGCTATAGGGCTTATTATTCATACCCCACAGTAAAGAAGCTGAGGCTTAGAGAAGTTGAGCAACTTGCCCAAGGTCACACTAGTCAATGGTGAGCTGGGACTGGAACCCAGGCAGCCCGGTCCTACAGTCCATGCTCTTGACCAGTGAACAAGACTCCATCAGGAATTCATTGCCTACCCTCCCACCAGCCACTGCGCCCAATAACCCTCTGGCAGGGGACCATAAGCCTTCCTCTGCAAGGGAGGGGACAAAAGGCTATGAATAAGGGGGACTGCTCGGAGTGGAAAGCGTGAGGGTCTGGGCTGGGCTGAGGGTCTGTGGGTAGTGGCTGTGGGTGAGAAGCTGAGGCTCTGTTGGCAATCCCTCCCCACACCCCCATTTCTCTGGGGCTTTTTTCTTTCTGTCTGCGTTGCCCTCTTGGTTTTTCTCGGCTTTCTGCAAATGCCAGCCTCCTTACAGTGTGAAAAGGAAGTGAGAGAAGGGACTTTTGTGTCTTTGCTTAGGATAGAGAAGGGGGGCATTCTTTGGGGCCTGGGCTGGGGGCGCCATCAGGATCAAGGTGGGACAGTGTGAGGCACCCAGGGGGCAGCCGCACCCTCCTGCTAGGGAGGCTCCTTTCTCTGAGCCTTCTCTGCGCACATCGCAGGGCATTTCTGGGTGCAATGGACACCTTTCACATTCCCCCTCCCTCCAACCCTGGCCCGCCTCTCTTTTTCTAGCACACCCTCCAGGGCCAGGCCTGAGCAGAGCTCCCAATCACCCAAGCTTCCCCCTCCTGGGATCCGTCTGCCTCTCTGTGTCTCCACCTCTCCCCTGCCTCTCCCCCGACCTGGGGCACACTTTAGCTGAGGAGTGGCCTGAGCAGACTCTGCCCTGACTCCCTGAGAGCCCCCGGAGAAGCCCCTCCCCCTGATTCAGCCTCTGGGAAGGGCTCCACTCCCAAGGCCTCTGACACTGGGATCTGGGATCCCAGCCCTTCTCCTGGCCTTTCTCAAATCATTGAGCCCTTAGTGAGGTGCTACTGTGTTCTGGGCAGCCCTAGAGGAGGTGATCGTCCATTTTGGGGAATAAGATGAACTACAGTGAAGGTTGGAGAGCCATACTCTGATCCCACATGGTCCTGCAGGAGAGGGAAGATGTGGAGTGCTGAGCTCCTGCGGCTGGTGGGATCACAGAAGGCTTCCTGGGGGTGAGGCACTGGACATCTGGCTGAAAGGAAGAGAAGGTTTGGAGAGGCCTCTTTCTTGTCCCTCCTCATCTTGATTTCTCCCAGCTGGGTGTGTCTTCATTTCTCTGCGTCCCTCTCTTCCTCCTCCTTCTGAGGTCTCCATTCCTCTGTTCTATGGCCTCCTTGGGTTGGGGCAGAGCTTTCTGAGAGCCTGTGTCCTGGGGAATCTGGACTTGGGCCAAGCTGAGCTGCCCCAGCTCAGGCCTCCTCATGGTTGCGGCATGGGGCTCACTGGTCAGGGCAGGAGGGACACAAAAGCACTCTCGTCTCGGCCTTACTCTGAGATTGAAGGAGAAACAGCTCCTCCTTACACTAATCTCTGGAGGGTGGAGGAGCCATCTGGGCTCCAGACTCCAGCCCTCTCTTTGCCTCTGCCCATCTCTGTCCCTGGTTTTGCCCCAACTCTGCCTCTCTCTGTCTCTCCCCACTCTTTCTCCCATCCCTCGTCTCTTGCTCTGCCCCTTGCCCCTCTTCAAACCTCTCCACTCCTCCAAACCTTTTCCCCGCCACACACAGACTCCCCTGGGGCTGCACAGGGATTCCCCTGGCCAAGTGAGGAGACAGATGTCCGTGGCACGGCTTTGTCCCCAGGCCCACAATGGCATCTGTGGGTCAGTGTTGAGGGACAGCTGTCTGCACAGTTAGCAAGTGCCGACAGGTAAATAAGAGCCTCATGTCTTCTTAATTAAATCGTCCTTCACCCAGGCAGCCTTGTGTTCGATTGGGCTGGGCTGTGATCAATAAGTCTCTTTGCTGGCACGGCCACCCCTGGAGCTGGGCCTGACCTCCTCGGCCTGCCCAGGCCCACCTGCCCACTTCCCCAAAGGCCCAAGAGCCCCTCCAGGGCAGGGTCTCTTGTGGCCCTGTGCCTGGGACAGAGCATGGGACAAGTAAGGAGTAAAGGAGTGATCGCTGAGTTGAGTAAACTGAGGCACTGGCAGCAAACATGGGCCAGGAAGGCTTGAAGGCCCAAAATGCAACTCCCACCCCCAGGAGCAACATGAAGCTGTAGGAGTCACAGCGGGTGCCGCTCCCATCCAGGTCCCAGACACAGCCCGGCTTACCACCCAGGGCAGCTGAAGCCCTGCAGGGAGGGGGCATTGTCAGTGCTAGCAGCTGCTGGGGGCAGTTACTCCTTCTGACCTCTAAGGGCAGAATGCCCTTTTCATAAGGAATCCCCACCTAGGGCCCCGGGGCTGGTGTGGGAGGATCAGTGACCTGGGATCAATACAGCAGAGCATGTGGCATTCAGGGGGGCTAAGGTCAGCCTGGAGTTATAAAGGTCCCAGGGACAGTAAAGGCTCACAGGGGTCCAGGATAATTGGGTTGTTAGTAGAGGGCTTAAAGGACAAGGTGTGTGTGGCGTGTTTGGCGGGGGGCGGGGAGTGTTTTCAGAGTCCATGCAAGAGGGATCCATGAAAAGATCATGGGGGCTCCAGGTTCGGTGAAAAGAGTCGGTATTAAACGGGTTTTTGGAGCGGCCAATTCTGCCTCTGGTCAAGGTGTCTCTGATAGCGATCGGGGACATCTCGTCTCATTAGGGGATCAAACAGTCTCTAGTTTGGAAACGGGCGGGTGCAATGCCCTTCTCACCTTAGTCTGACCCCAGGGCGCGAGCCTAGACGTCTCCCGAAGCCCCCGCCCATCAAGTGGCGTTCCCCGAGGGCGGAGCGTCGGCGGGTCCCCCGGGAGCAGCAGGAGCGGTTCGGGGCAGGCGCCCCCAGCGCCGAGGTGGAAAGAGGCCGGCTCCGCGCCGGGCTGGGAGGGGGGCGCGGAATCAGGGCGTTTTAGGACCCAGCGCGGCGCCTCCCTCCGGGGGCGAGTGCGGCTGCGCGCGCCGTGTGCCCGTGTCCGGAGAGCGGCGGGCTGGACGCGGACCGCGCGAGCGAGCAAGCGAGCCAGCGAGCCGAGCAGCAGCCCGGGCGGCAGCAGCGTCGCGGCGGCGGCGGCCGCTCCGCGCCTCGCCTTCCCGGCCTCGCCGGCCTCGCCTCGCCGCGCCCGGACCCGCCACCCCCGCCTCCCGGGCCCGACCACCGTAGCCCCCTCGCCTCGGCCGGCAGCGCCAACTGCCTGCCCCAAGCGAGGCGCGGAGCGCGGGGCGCGGAGGCACCGGAGCCAGTGCCCGCCGGCCCCGCAGAGCAAACCCGGCCCGGAGAACCCCTGCGCGGCCCCGCGCGGCTCAGCCACAGTCCGGGAGCTGTCCCTTCAGCACCGCCGCCGGAGCCGGAGCCGGAGTCCGAGCGCAGCCCAGCGGAGCCCCAGCTCGAGCCGAGGCGCACCGAGCGCAGCGCTCTGCGGCCACCGCACCGAGCAGCGCCCCGGGTGCCCCTGCCCAGGGGGCCCGCCATCTCCTCCGAGAGGCGGGGAGAAGGAGCGAGGAGGGCGGGCGGGCGGGCAGGCGCGCCCGCCGCCGGGGGGAGCAGGCAGCCAGGCAAGGAGAGAGGGAGGGGGCCGGAGCCCGCCCTGCGCCCCGAGCTGCAGCCCGGCCACGCAGGGAGGAAAGCGGCGGGCATCCATCTCCCCCGCGCCGAGAGCGCGCTGCGGCGACCACCGCACAGCAGAGCGCGAATTTCCCGGCCTTCTCTCCTCCCCTCCCCCTTCCGGGGGCTGGTCTATCTGTCCGGCCCGGGGGACAGCTGACCTTTCCCCCAACAGCTTTGTGTCGATTTCTCCATTTTCCCGCTGAGATGGGGACGGGAGCCCGGCCCCCCCACCCTCTTTCCCCTCCTCCCGGGGCTCGCCGCTGAGCGCCGCCCCCCTCCCTCCCTCTTCCCTCCCTCTCTCCCTCCCTCCTTTCCGCCTCTGCCTCCTCCGCAGCCGGACCAGCTCCCTCCCACATCTGGTGCCTAGAGACCCTCGGAATCCTGCGCAAACTCCCCTGGACCAGCACCCGGCAGAGAGCGCCCCCAGGGGCTTGGGTCGCTCTTGGAGTGGCCAGAGCCGAGGTCCTCTGTCCCCCCGACGGCTGGGGGGAGGGGGGAGGAGGCCGCGCGCCCCCCTCCCCGGCGCCAACTCCCCCTGGCGGCTGCTCCCATGGGTGTCGCTGGGCCGCGCCATGCCTAAGGGGGCGCCGCGATGGGCCAAGGGGACGAGAGCGAGCGCATCGTGATCAACGTGGGCGGCACGCGCCACCAGACGTACCGCTCGACGCTGCGCACGCTGCCCGGCACGCGGCTCGCCTGGCTGGCGGAGCCCGACGCCCACAGCCACTTCGACTATGACCCTCGCGCTGACGAGTTCTTTTTCGACCGCCACCCGGGGGTCTTCGCGCACATCCTGAACTACTACCGCACGGGCAAGCTGCACTGCCCGGCCGACGTGTGCGGGCCGCTCTACGAGGAGGAGCTGGCCTTCTGGGGCATCGACGAGACCGACGTGGAGCCCTGCTGCTGGATGACGTACCGCCAGCACCGCGACGCCGAGGAGGCGCTCGACAGCTTCGGAGGCGCGCCCCTGGACAACAGCGCCGACGACGCGGACGCCGACGGCCCGGGCGACTCGGGCGACGGCGAGGACGAGCTGGAGATGACCAAGCGCCTGGCGCTCAGCGACTCCCCGGACGGCCGGCCCGGCGGCTTCTGGCGCCGCTGGCAGCCGCGCATCTGGGCGCTCTTCGAGGACCCCTACTCATCCCGCTACGCGCGGGTAAGTGACGGCCGACCCATCGGGAGAGCGGGGCGGGGAAGGCAGCGCCCTCTGCCTCCCGCGGGCAGGGGTGCATCCGAGAACGGGCGCCTAGGGAGTCAGAACTGAAAGGGGGGTGTGCGCGCGTGTGTGTACAGACGTGTACGTGTGCAAGAGACCGGGCGATTCTTTCAAGGGTGACTACGTATGTACGTGTGTAAGGTCTGCGTCTGTATTTCCGAATTTAGTCTGTACAAGCATGAATGGGTGTGTTTGAGTAGATCGTGTGTGCCTATTTCTGTAAGTGTGGTGGTGTGTATTTGGATGGGTAAAGTATGTAGTGGGAGTGAGGGAGCAGGAGTGTATGAGTGTGCAGGAGTGCCTGTGTGTGCATATTTGTGTTTTTGCAGATGGACGCTGTGAAGACGTGGGCTGCCCTGTAGATCTGGGTGTGGGGAGGGAGGCTGGGAGCCCCTTCTCCCTCCCCGGTAAGGGGCATCCGGAGCCAGCCAGGGCCCACGAAGAGGGCTTGAGGCCTGGTCTGCTGCAGGGGACAGAGCTCCCCTCCGAGGCAGCAGCCTCGGCCGCCCTGAGGAGATGGTCAAGGGGGAGTCTTTATGGCTAATTGACAGTCTGGTAACTGGTGTCGGGCTGGGCTGTGGGGAGGGTCATGTGATGGCTCTGAGACCTGCTCCTGAGAACAGGGCCTGCCCTTCCTCCTTATTATAAGAGGAGAGTGTTGGGGGGTCCACTGGCCTTAAGCCTGTGCTTCCTGTGGGACCTGTCAGGGGCAGAGGGGGGCCCTAACTGGAGCATGCAGGAGAAGGTGTGTGAGAGGTGGGCGTGTCTTCCTCGGCCACTCCCCTCTAGTGACAGCAGCTTGTTGCAGGGAAGAAAGGGCCCCCTGCTGCTGACCTTGGCCCTGGGATGGCCTCTCTGGATCAGCATCCTCCTCTGTAAAATGGGAGAGGGGGTCTGGTAAATTCTAAGGGTCTTTGCTGTTTAACTGAGCCCTAAAGGGCGACCCTGGGAGCAGCCACCTACCCTGGAAGAGACACTCTTACCTTCACCAGGCTCTGTCCTCAGGCCTGAACAGAGCCTAAGGCATGAGGAGGAGGGTCAGAGCTAGGAATTAAGGCAGAGTCCCTCCCCGATCCGTGAGCCACCCCCCCAGCTTTCTATCAGGCAAACCATTGCTTCTGCCGACTCTCCTTTAGGGTTCCACATCCCTTCCCTCCTTCCCGCTGGACCCCCGGGGGATGGGACAGGGGAGGGGGCAGGAGTGTCTGTCCAGCTGTGGAGGTGCAGAGGGAGAAGGGGCCCTGGGGAGCACTGAGGTGCCCACGAGCAGAGAAAGGCTGCGTTTCGGCACAGGCCTGGGATGAAGCACACCATGTTTTGGCGTGTGAGGGAGGGGGCCGTGGTCTGATCTTATGCCTTAAATCCTAGAGGATGTGTGTGTGTGTCGGGGAGGGCACGGGGGTAATAGGGAGAGAGCCAAGAGAGCCAGAGTCCCTCGTTTTGCCACTAAGGACCGTGCCCAAGGTCACCCAGGGAGCTAGAGGCCGAGCAGGACTAGAACCTGGGTCTCCTGGGACCCCATCCTCCCCTGAACTGGCCACCAGCTCCCCACCATTTCCCAGAGTGGACTGGGACCCTCAGAGGTCTCTCCTCCCCTCTCTCTCCTGACAGGGACCCGCATAGCCAGGGGATTATGTAACTGGAGGCTGTGGCTGAGCTGTGGGGAGGGGCTGGAGGAGGGGGGCCTGGAGGTGGAATCAGCACATGGCGGGGGGACATGCTGGGCAAAGGCCTGGGTTAGAGCAGCTGCCCATTCCATCTGCATTTGACCTTGGACAACATCTTACCACCACCACCCCCTTGGCCCCGGAAACAAGGAGTAGGCCCAACTTCCTCATTGTTCTCTCAGCCTCCTGGCTCCCTAGCAGGAGGCTGGGTCCCTCCACCCCACCTCTTAGGCTCAGCCTTAGGGATCTGACTGGTGTCCCTGAGTCTCAGGCTTGACTGGGGCCACGAGGGGCATGTTCCAGCCCCCTCCCCTGTCCACCTCCTCCCACCGGACATGCCGTGGCTGGGGGTGGCCTTCACCTAATGCAGATAAATGGGCTGGCTAGTGTGATTTGCGGTCTTGTCGGTGTACCATTCCTTATAGAAGAGTCCTGACTCCCTTGAGTGTCCACTGAAGAGCAGACTGTGGGGACGAAGCTGGGCAGTAGGGGGGAGAGGAGGTGGGGAAGGTGCCTCTGGCCTGTCTGTGCCACCTTCTTTCCCCAGTAGCCCCACAGAGTCGTACCAACTCCCCTGGGTGACAGATGAGGACGATGAGGCCCACAGGGAAGGGCCTGCCCAAGGGCACAGGAGAAGTGGGGGCTGAGCCTGGACTAGACCCGGGTCCCGCTGCCACCCGGCCTCGCTGCATTGCGCTCCTCTCTGCGGCTTGTCTGCGCAGAGGCCGCCCGCCCGCCGCCCCCCTCCATCCTGCTCGCCTGCCGGCCCGCCACCGCTGTCACCTTTGTTTACCCCTCCCCCACACGGCCCAAAGCCTCCTCACGTTGTGCATTAGGATTTAAATTTTTCTTCTAGATTCTAGCCCAGAATCCTGTATGTGTGAGACGTTGTATATGTGTGTGAAGGAAAAGCTGTGTGTGTGAGAGAGAATCTGTGTAAGAGAGATTCTGTGTGGGTGTGAGAGACTCTTCATGTGTGTGAGAAAGACTGTATGAGAATAAAAATATGTGTGTGAGACTCTGGGTGTGGTGTGTGTGTATGTGTGTGGTGAGACTGACTGTGTAAGAGAGATTCGGTGTGAACGTGAGAGAGACAGATTCTGTGTGTTTTGAGAGATGGACTTTGTGTGTGCGAATGAGACTGCGTGGGAGAGAGTGCGTATATAAGAAAGAGAGAGAGAGAGAGACTGTGTGTGTAAGGGAGATGCCGTGTGTGTGTGTGAGAGAGAGAGATTCTTGGGAGAGTGTGAGAGACTTGTGGTGAGTGTGTCGCTGTGGGTGTATTGCTGTGTGTGGCAAGTGTGAAGCTCTGTGTGTGAGGCTGTGTGTGTAAGACTGTGTGCATGAGACTATGTGTGTGTGAGGCTCTCTGTGGGGTGGGGGACCCTGTGTATGACACAGACTGTGTGTGTGTGAGGCTGTGTGTATGACAGGCTGTGTGTGAGACCCTGTGTGTGTCAGTGTTGCGGTGTGTCTTGCATGTGGAGAGACCCCGGTTGCCTGGGTGTGCGCACACCGTGAGGAAGGCGAAGCTCCAGGCCAGCCTCCTGCCCGCTGCCTCAGTCTCCTGGGCCGCCTGGGCCGCCTCAGCGAGCGGTCCTGTTCCTCGTTTCCCACCCTCAGTACAAATACTGCTCTAGCCCAGGTCCTTTGTTGGTGCATAGAGAGGTAGTGAGCCCACCCCACCCTGGGCCTTAGTGTTGGCCCTGGAAGATAGGGGCTACTTGGCTGGGGTGGGAGGTCCCCTCTGAGCTCTTGAGGGGTGATAGGGCTGGCTGGAGCAGCTGGTTCCATGGCCCCTCTCTCCTAAGCTCTCCTGGGCACCCAGGCTGAGGGCTGAGGGTTGGGAGGTAGGCTGGGACAGGGTGAGCCCGGCTTGTATTCTCGGAGTGAGGGGTGGTGCCCCAGACACACACAGGCAAAGGAGGACGATGACACTCTGTGGTAAGGGCTGTGGAGGAGCTTCCTGGGGCCGGGAGAGTAAGAACTGTCTCAGAGGAGGTGATGCTGGGCAAACTTGGAGGGGCAAGCAGGAACTGGCCAGGCAGGTGGCAGGGGCCAGCAGTGCTGGCGTGCAAAGCTGCAGAGGTGTGGGAGCAGGCAGGCAGTGTGGGGCAGCCCAGGGCAGCCCTAGCTTGCACGCTGCCCTCCTCTCCTCCTTGGGGGCCAGCGCAGGTCTGAGGCCCTTGCTTTTATCTATTATTGGTATGTTGTCGTCGGGAACATTGTTACAGAACAATCAGTCAGATCAGGGCCAGTGGTGGTCCCTGGGCTGTAGGCCAGAGAGTATCCCCTGTGTGTGTATGTGTGTGTGTGTGTGTGATGACACCTTCCCCCAGAGTCACTTGGCCTTCCAAATGACAAGGAAGTACCAACAGCTCCCCAGCTTGGGAAGCCCCCTCCATCCACCCACTGCCCACCTCTGCTCTGAGGCCGGTCTCTGTTTCTCTGCCTTGTCCCCTCCTCTTGGGGACCTGATGCCGTCCAACTCCTCCACTCCCTGGCGGGAGATTCACCCCGAGGCATGGATGAAGAGCTACCAGAGGTGGTCCTCCCTTGGGTCCCAGCTGACACAGGGCTCTTCAGGTCTTGACCTGGCATGTAGAGGGATGGGGGACACAGCTGCTGTTGGGGACTTCCCAGCAGCTCGCCCCTCCCCCTAGAGGCCCCTCCCCTGGCCCAGGCCCCACTTCAGGTCACGGTAACATAGGAAGGAGACCCACGAGCAGTGGAGGGGGCGGGGTGTGTTCCCCTCCCAGCCACCCCGAGTGCTCCCCGCCACAGTGTGTCCCCCATTGCGTGCTCTCCTCCTTCCCGTGGTGCTTTTACAGGGGTCCCCCAGCCCCCCCAGCAATGAACATCACAAACCAAGTGTCTCCTAGGCAGAGTCCCTCAGCGTCTTCACCTCTAAAATGGGCCTTATGAGAGAACCTGCCCCCAGGGGTTGACGGAAAGATAACTGAGGTGTTATGTGGAGAACCCGAGTCAGGGCCTGGCATGCAGTAAGTGCTCAATAAATGTTGGCTGCTGCTGTTACTCCTACTGGTTGTATTATCCTTGTACTTTATGACTCTGTCTAGACTCCATCCTTTCCCCTCTGTCTCCGTGTCTACCATCCTGGTTCAAGCCACCATCGTTTCCCTCAGGCCCACCTTTCCAACAGCTTCCTGACTGCTCTCCCATCTCCAGCCGCTGGTCCCTCCAGTTCATTCTCCAGTGGCACACAGAGGTCTTTTCAACTCACAAATCTGTCTGCTCACCACCTTGCCTGCT